AACAACCAGAAATGCTAATGTGGATGCAAATCATTTAGTATTCATCCTCCGGGAACCATGAATATCTGTACAAAGTTGTGGACCGAGCACCAGACCATGCGCTGTCATCTCTACAGAGCCACACTGCCATCATGGGTGAAAAATAATACGTTTAGAGTCAAATCTTTTTCTATATTGCCTGAACTTATTTTTCTTCAACACTAAAATCCATCATAGAACTCCGGGCTGGTTAAACACAGTCTACTGTTAACATGAACCATAAGCATGGTGGCTTACAAGAGGCAGGAAACTTTCGGTACCTGCTCTGTTTAAAGTGTTGATGTTGCATTCTTTTGTTAATGAGATGCCATTGAAGAGTGTTGTTGTGTAAATATCTGACAGCTGGGTCTGCGCGTCTTTCTTCCTGCCTGCCTCCTGAACAAACAGCCGCAGGACTGACCAACCACCTCCCCTCTGATGGTGGAGGTGGTGGTGGTGGTCAGCATTTTAGTATCTTTTTAAAGCTCTAATCCTCAACTTTACTGTGTCTGACCATGTCCACACTGCAGCAGATAGATTTGAAAATGCTGTTTACATATGGAAATTTTATGTCCACACTAGCACTTTCAAGTCTTTATTGAAAAGTTCGTCCACGCTGAAACTTGTAAAGCAACATCAAAGCTGTGCGTTACATCATCTGGTGGAGTGGGACAGTCACAGGCTGGATTCACTGCGGAGTCTGAGGATGGGGAAACCTTAGCCTTGTCACCTACTGTTCTATACAGGGATTTGATTGTAGTTTATGAATGCAGGCTCCTCACCCAGATTAACAGCGCAGTCATTCCTGTACTGCTGCACTAAAAAAAAAAAAAAAATCACCCAATAATGTAAATAAACAGCTGTGTGATCGTCAAGGTTTTGGTCAGAAAGTCAGCCTCCAGATTCTCACCTTGCCTGTGCAGGTGTAGGTGACTATTTGTCCTGTCTACAATGAAAATACGAAACCATCTTTGCACATTTAAAACATTCTGAGGAGTTTTTACAAAGGGCTCTGTTATTGATGAGAAAAATACTGGCTTTGTTTTTAAATGTATTTGGCTTAGGCGATGCAATATTTCATCAAGGTTTAAAACTGCTTCTTTCATGAACAGATAGCAGCATGCATTACTACTGGTGTTTAATACAAGCAAAGTGCAGAAAATGTTTGTAACACAGAACATTCAGGAATGTTTTCAGGGAATATTAGTATCAAATCAATGTTGTTAATGTTATGGTATTTAAATTGTTGCCATTGTTGACATGCTACTTTATTTCTATTGATGTTGTCGTGACCAATAGACAAGTAGATCTTGTAACTTTTCATTTTGTACAGTAAAACTTTTTTTTTTTTTTTTTTTTAAGTTGCCTGCTTTTGAAGATTTGTTTTGCATCAGATAAAGACATTATAATTCACCAGTGTGCTGCTACAACGGCATTACAGCAACCAGAGATAAGGAGAAGCAAAACAAACGGTGCTCCAAAACATTTTCATTTGCCAAATCTAGATACTGAACATCTGCCAATATCTTACCTGCAGATCAACATGGAATGTCCCTCAGGAAAACAAATACTGCCAGACCTTAAAAATGAAACATATAAGGACAGGAGGGATGGGTGAGACTGAGGAAACGTGGCCTGAGAAGCAGACTTGAACTCACTGCGTTGAACATTAAGGTGTGTTGTGATGTCATCCTGCCACCGCATGAGCCTTAAAACAGCCATTAGACAATATTGCTATTTCTGGGTAAAGGCAAGTAAAGCAGTCTTAATAAATGAATATATTTGTGTGTGTGTGTGTGTGTGCGCGTGCGTGTGTGTGCATTTGACATGATTGACAGTTGACTGGCCATGTCTCCTTCAACAGGGCCCCCCCTTTTCACTGATTACTGTGTCAGTGTGCCTGATTCACACACACCCTCACACCCTCTCACACACACACACACACACTCTCTCACTCACTTTCATTTGCACACACAATGCTATGCAGATACACAAAGGGTGAAAAAGGCCCACTGTGGATCTCCCATCAGGCCGAGCTGCGAGAAAACACACAAAACATACGCAGCAAATGTGTCCACTCTCATGCATATGGAAATGCTAACATGTGTGTGTAATATAAATGTGTGTGTGTGTGTGTGTGTGTGGAAGTTTGCTGTGTGTGTCTGTGTGTGTGTGTGTATGTGTGTGTGTGTGTGTGTGTGTGTGTGTGTGTGTGTGTGTGTGTGTGTGTGTGTGTGTGTGTGTCAATGGGCAGCTTCAATGTAAAATGCATTAGCATTCAATGATGATGCTGGTCTTTCTAAAGGCTCTCATGGTTCCACTGGACTCCCTCTCTCTCTCTCCCTCCTTCCCTCTCCCTCCCTCCCCACATTTTTTCAACATGCTATCATCACATTCTCCGTCCTCTGTGGATGGGTTTATAATTAAAAGTGCTCCAGCGCTCTAATATGAGTGGTATGACTGTGGTTTAGACTATATGGCACAGATTGATCAGATACCGAGCCAAAGTCATATTTCTTTGCTGCTAAGCCTATTCACACTGAGAGCACTGATCCTCTCTCTCTGCCTGTCTCTCTGTCATCCTCCCCCTCGCTCTCTGCTTCTGTGTTTGTCTCTGACTCTTTAAATCTTCCTCAAGCGCTTATCTTCTGCTGCTTTTTCTTTTTCCCCCTTCCCCCCCCCCGAGTAGTGCTCCTACATGGTCATAGCTGTGTTTCTGCACTGCACGTCCAGATTTCACCTGTCGACAGCTCTGTGTCTTTGTAAATGTAGTTCCCTTATAAGCTCAATGATTGTGTATGGTGTGAATTATCTGTTGTTTCTGTAGGTGGCACTCTTTTGGTTTTCCATCATGTTGCTGCAGAGAAACGCTGCTGCTGTGATGAGTAATTTGCAGCAAATTTAAATCATTTCACAAACTGGTGGAAATTCAGAAAAATAGTCGTGTGTTTATGAAAATAATGTAGATTATTTGTTTTAAAAATCTGTTTATACTGTATTTATATTGAATTTCATCTTTGCAAGGACACGAAGAGAAAATTATTTAGTTCAAACAAATGTGAAAGAACTTCTGCTCTTGAATTTTTACAAGAGGTGGTGCTTGTAGCAAACTCCCACATCACATCACCTCTGCACTCTGACAAAGCGTTGTGGAGACGATGATGCTAAAACCAAAACTATACATTTTCTGTCACATTATTTCCATGTTGTGTCAACTTTTACACATATGATGTGATTTTTTATTTTATTTTATTAATTTTTTGCATCTGAAGAACTTCGTGTAGTTGTTTTTCTTGTCAGTGTGTGTGGACATTTTTTTTTTTCATGTGAACTGATGTTGTTGACAATCCTGCCAAATATCTGTGACTGATTTTTCCTTTGTGCTTCATGTGTGATGTAGGCTGTTGTAAGATGTGGGGCTTTGTTCTTAATCCAGTGTGTGTAATATGTGTGTGTTGATGTGCTGCACATACATGTGTTTGGTATGAGGCTGAGGGATAATGGGTACAGGAGGAAACTGATTCTGCGTGTGTGCAGCTCTGTGAACTACCAGACGAGTTGAAATGGGATTCTTTGCTCTCTTTCCCCTCATCTTTCCTCTCCTCCATTACCCCCCCTTTATCCCCTTTTCTCTCCTCTTTGCCCTTTTCTCCTTCCCTGCATTCATTCCTCTCTCCTTCTCACCCATCATCGCCCTCATCTAATGCCCCCTATCTTCTACTGATGCACACCCTCTCCAGCCATCACCCACACACACACACACACCCCTGTGATAGACAGGATGTCCTCACCTTGTAACGATCACTGACATCCAATATGTTTGGCTTGGGATCATCCCCTGTGTGTCCATTGTGCTTTCTGTTAAACGCTTTATTGATTAGCCATGAGTTAATTACAAATTACATCAACCGTGGGCAGACTAAGGTGGCTGCTACATGGTTGCAGGGTCCATCCTGGAGGAGCTAATACATACACACCTGCAGGCGTGCATCTCAACCTTAGCAGGTTACATCAGTCTACCCCCCCACCCCCCACCCCACCCCACCCCCTCTATTAACATCCATGCATTTATGACATTTTACAGTGACTTATCAACGCTTTAGGGCCATGCAATATTTTCTGGGCGATTGTGGTGAAAAGGGTAGAATTAGAAACAGGAGGTTTGTGCAAGACACCAAGGATATGCCCTGAATACTTAATTTTATCAAGCACAACTTGACTCACCCTATGCAAAATTATGAGACTGTGCCAAATCCACAGCAGACCTTTGGAGGCTAATGTATTCTGAATTTAAGCTCCATTGTAAAAACCCATAACACGCCTGCACCTGACCTGCTCTGTTGCAGCCCCCCCACCCCAAAAAAAGAAAAAAAAGAAAAGAAAAACAACCTCTCACCTCTGACTTGTGCACAAGTTATGAAAAGTAATTACTTGTGTAATAATAATAATAATAATAATAATAATAATAATCAATACAACTTTTAACAGAAGCACTTTTTGAGCCTTCCTTTTCATACCGTGTCAGTTTCTCTTTGACATTGCCATGTACTTTGTGCAAAAGGAAAAAGGAGCGAAAAAAAAATCTTTATCAAATCCCCATTCTGAGGCTTTCAATAAGGCAGGCCATTACCTCACTGGCGCTTTTGTTCGGCCTATACAAGAGAGAACAAAATGGTTATTCAGGAGGACGCTTTAGATTTTTATTGTGGGCTCGCTATTCACAAAGAGCACCGTTATTGTATTAAAAAGAACCATCTGTGGCAGAAACAATGGCTTCAAATTATCTGTGAATACCCAGTGAACAAAATATAAAGCTTTTTCCTGCTCATTATGTGGGCTAAGCTAGGGGGTGGAAGATAGGAGAGGAGAGGCATAGACTTTGCTATAACTGACTTTTGTTGTTCTTGCTTGCATTCTTCTCCTTTTTAAATCGGCCCCCTTTTCACATTGTGTGTCGCCATAAACGGCTTTTCTTGTTGCAGGGCGAGCGGAGAGAAGACAGCGGAGCTCCAGACAGACAGCGGGACAACCGCGGAGCTGCACGGCGGCCAAAGCGCGCCGGCTGCCGGATCGAAACCGCGCGGACTACCGAGGGGGGGGGAGAACGACATGCGGAGGTTTGCCGTTTGGGGCTGTTTCACGGCCGGCGCACGGAGCTCTTCCCCCGGACAGGCTGAGACTGCTTCACCGGTACGGAAGCGAGGAGGAGGATGTGGAGGAGGTTGAACGAAACGGCGTCTTGTTTTATTTCAACACGAGAGGAAGACAACTCCCAAACTGGCAGTAAGTTGGAGTGCGGTGGAGAGAACCCTGTGTGTTTGTGTGTTTGTGTGTGGTGTGTGTCAATGGGCAGCTTCAATGTAAAATGCATATAGTGCCATTATGATGATGCTGGTCTTTTCTAAAGGCTCTCATGGTTCCACTGGACTCCCCTCTCTTCTCTCTCCCTCCTTCCCTCTCCTCCCTCCCCACATTTTTTCAAACGTGCTATCATCACATTCTCCGTCCTCTGTGGATGGGTTTATAATTAAAAGTGCTCCAGCGCTCTAATATGAGTGGTATGACTGTGGTTTAGACTATATGGCACAGATTGATCAGATACCGAGCCAAAGTCATATTTCTTTGCTGCTAAGCCTATTCACACTGAGAGCACTGATCCTCTCTCTCTGCCTGTCTCTCTGTCATCCTCCCCTCGCTCTCTGCTTCTGTGTTTGTCTCTGACTCTTTAAATCTTCCTCAAGCGCTTATCTTCTGCTGCTTTTTCTTTTCCCTTCCCCCCCCCCGAGTAGTGCTCCTACATGGTCATAGCTGTGTTTCTGCACTGCACGTCCAGATTTCACCTGTCGACAGCTCTGTGTCTTTGTAAATGTAGTTCCCTTATAAGCTCAAATGATTTGTATGGTGTGAATTATCTGGTTGTTTTCTGTAGGTGGCACTGTGTGTGTGTGTGTGTGTGTGTGTGTGTGTGTGTGTGTGTGTGTGTGTGTGTGTGTAAAACATGCAGTGTTGTGGAATGACAGCGCATGGCATCGAGCTTGACTGACTGCCTGAGTTGTTGCTGGCCGGTTTGGTTTTCGACTCAACATACACAAGCATCGTTTGTTCTATTTATTACCATCACATCTGACATTACCTTTCTTACTATCAATTAATGCAATTTAATTATTTTCCTCTTCCAGTAGGCTACATTTTTAATTTTTAAGAAAAGCGTTCATTTATAATATTTCAATCACACATCAAATAGAACACCCTGAATTATTTCTACTTACACTGATGCGCTTTTATTACAACAAATATGTGTATTAGACTCCAGCGAATGTCATGATTTTATGATTTTAATTACACTCTCAGTTTTTATTTTACTAATCTTACTCTATATTTTAATTCATCATGGCCTAATATATCGAACGACATATTGTCAGTTTTACAGCCTGGTAGCCGTCTGAGCTTTATGCTATGATCTCATTTATTTTAGTTTACCATTGCACTAAAACAAATAAATATTGTCCAAATTTTGGGGGAAAAAATGTAATCACATTGTAACAAATCATAAGTTAAGTATCTGCCTAAAAACTCATCGATGTCCTCAAAATAAAGAGCAATGTTATTCCTTCGTTTGTCTAAAAAAAAAAGCCGTACATATGCTTTCCATAATTATTTCCAGGCAGGAGTTATTAATGTGTTGATGAAGTATTTTCTTGGCTGCGTCTCCAGCCCCTGGTACGGCCCCTAGTGGCAAGAACAGACAAGTTTATTTACATTTCACCTGAAAACTGTCTCTCTCATTGCCATATACAATTGTTATGTTTGCGTGGCTTTGACGGGATTTATCCTTTTGTAGATTTTGTCATGTGTAAATTTAAATTTAATTTGGATTAATTGACGTGTGTTGGTGTCACCGCGATCAGAAATGTTAATTTTAGATAGTTTAACTTTTTTATAAGAGTTCAGAGAGGAGATTTTTCTTGCGTGGCTCTTCTTGGAAAAAAATATCTCAGCTTTATTGTTGCTCTATCTTGTCGCTTGTTTTTTTTTTTTTTTTTTTTTTTTTTTAAAGCAGAGATCCTATCACCCAAAATTGTGTAACCACAAAACAGTATTTTGATATCACAGCGTGCTGCACTCTATATTTGCTGTATCCATCCAAACCTGGTGTAGCGGGGGGCTTACAAGTGGTCCGAGGGAGCCGCCCCGCTAGTTTCTCCTGGTTTTTGTCAAGCAACGGCTTTAATTCAGGATGATTGTGGATGCAGGGCCATTCCCGGCTGGCTGGGGCCTGCTTTCAGAGAGCTGCAGGGCCCCGCTGTTCCTTTATTATCATAAGCAGATTAGAGGTAGCGGGGAACACACTCAGATGCAGATAACAGCCGAGCGGCCCATTTCAACCTTGCATTATAATGGACCGAGCTGCATGTGTCGCCTCTCGCAGCCCATTACGCACAAGATGAATCTTATGTAAGGTTGCCGGGGCCGGCATAATGAGAGCACGGGGGCTCCGCTCCTCCATTTATTATCAAATGACTAAAACAAAATAATAAGGCTTGATCTATTCACTTTCAATTATGATTTAATCTAGAGACACGCATTTAAATTAAATTATTTCAGGTGTATGTACTTGATCTATCTTTAATTATTGGGCAAGGCTTGCAGATCCAGACAAGCAGATGTGTGGCTGTGTTGTGACTGAATACCTCAGTTTTTTTTTTTTTTTTTTTTTAAACCTGCTGCCTGTTGATGGATAATGAATATATTTAAAATAATATTTTTAGCATTTCTTATCTTTACCAGAACTTCTAAAAACAGCCACCCCCTCTGTTCCTTCTCTCTACACTTAGAGAAACCCCCTGTCTTGCTTGTGGAGTCACTTGTAGTTTCGCCTCTGTCCAGTAGGCGGCGCTGGTGTCACGCAGCAGGACGCCTGGTCCTCAGATGGAGATTTCAGGGGAAAAAAGCAAAACAAGTGGCAACAACACTCCCAACCTCACAAAAAGAAAAAAAGAAAAAACTTTAGCCGTTTTGGACATTAAAAGCATATGAGTGAATTATTTGGCTTTAACGTGTGTGATGCCGGTGTCATATCATCATAATCGCAGTCTGGTCGGTTTGATCCATAATAAAGTGAGGCAGGTGGAGGCCGCTTTTCATTCACACTAATTGGCTGACACGCTTGTTCAGGCTTATATGAATGAGCTGCGCCTTTTGTGCAAACACACTTTATCTTAAAATATTCCTCACCTTTATTTCTCCTCCCCTCGTGTCCCCGGTAGGCCGTATCCCCCCCACCACCACTACCACCCACCCTCCCCTTAACTACAAAGCCCTAACAACAACAGCAGCACTGTGGCGGTGGAAGTGGAGTGGAGTTGGGTCTTTGTCCGGACAGATGTAGCGACAACATCCCAAACAAAAACCGCTTATTTGTGCTGAGATGAGCCCGTCTGCCTTCTGTGTGTTGGCATTCAACTTCACTAAACAAAAGGACTAGGGGAAACATCTTGGATTACCTTTCCTCTTTTCAACGCTAAAAACCAGCCGTGCCCCCCCACCCCCCCACCCCCACTCACTCACGCACACACACACACACGCATTCACACACACACCACCGCCATTCAGTGCTTTCAGTTAACTAACAAAGTTTATTTAAGTGTTGTTATGTTATTGGGGCCGTAAGTGGAGGAATTAGTGACTTTTTGATTTTGAACAACAGAAGCGTCGTGGGCCGTGACTTCAAGTCAGAACGAGGCTGTTTTCACCTTCAGAATAAGACTGACACCATTAATGTCATCATTTGAGTATAGTCTTATTTATTAAACTTATTTTGAAACATTTATTTAACTTTTATTTGATTTGATTTTTAAATGTGGATATTTATTTTTTTGTGCTAGAATAAAGGCTCCATAATTTAAAAAAAGACTGAGCCAAACATGAATGAATTGACTCATTTTTGAGAAATTCTTTGGTATATTTTTTGTATTTATTGGATAACTTTTTTTCCTAGTTTAAGCATAAAGTTTGCAAGACAACATAAACTAATGTAAAAGCCGGGAAGCTTTTGAACCCCCCCTTTCCTCCTCTGTTTGATGCTAGAAAATGTTCATTAAGTGCCACCATGCATATGTTCCCAGAGAAATGTCTCCATAAGCCTGGAAATAGTAAATATGTACTTTGCATTGGCTCATATGGGCAGGTTGTGCGTGTATGCGTGTGTGTCTCGGGGCAGGGCAGACCCCGCCCCTTTATGCTAATTAAGGTCTCCCATTGGTGTGTCAGGGGAGCAGGCCGGCTCTGATTGGCCAGGTCGAAGCCATTTATTCGCTGACAGCCCCGTCACATGAATGGTTGTCTATTAACTTGTTCAAAAACTATCTGGAGTTGTCAAGGCTCAGACGGACAGAGGCGAAAAAGTACAGTTTGTTAATGCTTTTTCGGAGAAGCGACGGGAGAAGTTTTGTGGACACAACATAGCAGGGACCTATTGGGAGAAGGCTCTCTGTCTCACACTCACACTCACACACACACTCTGACACACACTCACTGAGAGGGAGAGAGAGAGAGAGAGTGAGAGTGTGTGGAGACGCGGCTTGGTGCTTGTTGTTTTTTTTTTTTGGTCCAGAGAAAAAGTTGCAGAGAAAAATCGACAGGTAACTTTTCGCAGCAGCCCTGCGCTCCTCACTGTCCTGCCTCTGGCTTGTGGAGTTTGTCTCTGTGTTTTTTTTTTCCTCTGCTCGGGAGCTCCAACTGAAAAGCTGTTCCTGATGTATAACATGATGGAGACTGAACTGAAGCCCCCAGCTCCCCAGACCAACACGGGGGGCACGGGCAACACCAACACGTCCGGCACTGGCACCAACCAGAAAAACAGTCCGGAGCGGGTAAAGAGACCCATGAACGCGTTCATGGTGTGGTCCCGAGGCCAGAGGAGGAAGATGGCCCAAGAGAATCCCAAAATGCACAACTCGGAGATAAGCAAGAGGCTGGGCGCGGAGTGGAAACTTCTGTCGGAGAGCGAGAAGAGACCTTTCATCGACGAAGCCAAGAGGCTGCGGGCCCTGCACATGAAGGAGCATCCGGATTACAAATACCGGCCCCGGCGGAAAACCAAGACCCTGATGAAGAAGGACAAGTACACCTTGCCCGGCGGGCTGCTGGCTCCGGGAGGAAACGGGATGGGAACTGGGGTCGGTGTAGGGGTGGGCGCCGGGCTGGGCGGTGGGGTGAACCAGCGGATGGACAGCTATGCGGCGCACATGAACGGCTGGACCAACGGGGGCTACGGCATGATG